GAAAAAAGTTATGACGACTTTTCAAAAATGCACTTTTTTGAAAAACGCCCTGTATCTCTGAAACCGTAAGAAATATCGATATGCGGTTTTTGCCATTAAATTTCTTATAAAAATCGAGCCTCAGACACTGATATCATTTTTCCTGTATTTCGTATAGAAATAGGAGTTAATAAAGGTTAATAAAAGCAATTTTTTTCTACTCATACCTGATTTATACAGGGTGTATAAAGCAGAAATACCTTGGATGTATGTGCAATTTTTTGAAAATTGAAAAAAAGCGGTTTTTGCTATATTTGTTGATTCTTCTTTTGTTTAGATGATGAGGTGATAGGTGATTTTGTTGTAACTACTTTTCTTGTGATTTGAGATTTCCTTTTCTTCGAAGCTGCCTTCACATAATCTTCATCGTCATCGCAAAACAATAACAAATTAGGATCATCTTTACCACTAGGCCACCTTGCCAGACGGAGTCGTAAGCTTTCACAACATCTAATCCCAACGTGATAATTAAATTAAATTCGCTGCTAGCTGTACAGCTCCTCTATGTTCCCTCAATCCGAATTGATTCTTTGGGAGTAATTCTTTCCTTTCTACATCTTCTTGCAGTCGCTCCAACAGAATTCAGTAACCTTCAATAACACTGTCAGAAAACTGATAGGTATCTTGGATAGGACTTGATGTGCAAAAATAAATGAAGACCAAACATGTCAAATCTTGTTCAGACATGCCCGTTAGCATAAAAAGATATAAAGACAGAGATGAAAGAAAGAAATTATCTCATAAAAAGCTTTGATTCTATTAATCAAAAATCATTTACGCTTGTTAGAAATGTAATTTGAAAACTAAAAGGAATCGAAATCGGAAACGATTTTCTGTGCCATTAGTTTTTGTTCGGATCAGGTCGACTTTTCTCATTTCCCGTTGGAAATTCCAAAGAAAGATAAGATCGAGTCGCAAAGCGGCATGGTTTTTTTCACCGAAAAAAAGTGTCTTTACCTCCATCCGGATTTGCACCATTTCCACTTGAATTCTTAACGAAAATTCATACATCTGGTTCGGTGCGAAAACGTAAGGAGCACCTGGTCGAAGTAAAAAACTTTTCAAATTTCGGCCAACCGTAAATATTGAGCCCCAAAAATTCTTATTCCTTATTGCCAACCCACCCCAATCGGAGCGTTTTCGATACGACGATAATTCGGGACTTGGCCAAGTCGTAATTTTCAGCACCCAATTTTCGCTTTCGAGTTGACTAATTGTCTTGGACGTAGATCTGAACTTTTTCTCGTTTGCGATATTTTTCACGAAAAGGTTTTTACGACCATCCATAACGTCGTCTAGATTTTGATTGATGAGCGACGCCTTTGCTTTACCTTTCTATACAACGTTCTATTGCGCAGAGTTGAAATTTAAATAGACACCTTCTCTGAAAAATACAATTTTCCACGCGCGTTATATAGCAGGTAGTATTCGAATAGCTTTGTGTTTTCCAATGGAGATCAATCACTTCTTTTTCTGACGTCCACATCCCCGATTTTATTACTTTTTCAATTTCAATCTTAATCAACTTTGTGAATTTTTTAAAACACAATAAGAATAAAGAGTTAGATTCTTTAAAATTTACGATCCATAGTGCCCTTAAGTGATTTATCCGGGTTAAAGTAGTTCTAAAATGTTCCCGTCGACAGCTAAACGGTTGCAATCGAACATGTAAGTCCTTCTAAAATTTAAGAAAACGTCGTTTTCGTCGTCGATGTCGCCGTTCGTTACTGGTCCGAAGCTAAGCTCGAGGTTCTTTACTATTTATAGCCCGCGCGTTGATAATATTTATGGTTCACCCTGCGTTCAGCTAGCGATAAATCAGTAAAAGAGGGGGCGGTAATTGAAAAACTAGTAAAAACTCGTGATCTATAGGTGTCGTCGCGGATCCCGTACTCTTTTGATGGACCGCTTCTATTACCGTAGACGGAAGCCGAGTCTCCCGACTTGGAATATATGGCACGCATCAGGGGGCAAGTTACGAAGAGAGAGGACTCCAAAAACCACCCCCTTCCTTCAAAGTATGAATATTACGATATTAATGTTGGCAGTATTCGTTTCTTGAAGCTCCTTCTTCTATATTTTTAAGTTCAAGACAAGTAAGGGGGTAAAAAGCAGAAAATGTACTGTTGGTAACCTAACGAGGTACGATTTTAATCCAGAATTTTTGCTGGAGCATCCGCATAGAGGATCGGCCTTTTCATCCTCGGAATCCCATTTATTACGAGATCCGTCGTTAGAGGAGTCGCGCGCGCCTTTATGTCGCTATCCTTTTAGCTTACCTGTGCTGACAGTTTAATGACTGAAATTTTATTACCGGACTTCACTCTGTAACGCTGCATTACGTTCCGCAGCTTCATCTTTTACCCTGTTACTTTAGCCGAAAAGAAAGAAAGATTAATCAAATTTTTTTAGGTTGGGTTTTTAATGAATTAGTAAATTATGATTTCAAAAACCTTTCAACACCAAGATATTACAGTAAATTAAAATTATTTTTAATTTTAAATGATTTCCTTTACATCTCATTTTTCTACATGAGTAATGTTGACGTTTCAAGCCAAATATCTCAAGAACGAAGGTTGATATGAAAAAATGTTATTCTTTTATTTCGACTTAGAAATTATTTTTCTACATGATTGATGTCGACGTTTTCCTTTAAAGTTGCTTAGTATTGAGCATCATCACAAAAAAGGAATAAAAACTCCGTTCTTTGAGATAATATGCTATTTCTTCGTCTCCTACTCAAACAAAATATTTTTTTGTAACTTTAAGATATTTTCCTAGTAGAAAAATAAATTTAAAGTCGAAAGTAAAGAATAGAATTTTATCGTATTAGCTTTAGTTCTTGAGATATGACCCTTTTAATCATTCAATGTTGGCTTTTTTTGATAAATCCAAAATTTTCAAGGCAAATATCTCAAGAACGAAGGTTGATATCAAAAAATATTATTCTTCTATTTCGATTTAAAAATCATTTTTCTACATGATTGATGTCGACGTTTTCCTTTAAAGTTGGTTGGTATTGAGCATCATCACAAAAAAGGAATAAAAACTCCGTTCTTTGAGATAATATGCTAGTTCTTCGTCTCCTACTCAAATAAAATATTTTTCTATAGTTTCAAGATGTTTACCTAGTAGAAAAATAAATTTAAAGTCGAAAGTAAACAGAAGTATTTTATCGTATTGGCTTCAGTTCTTGAGATATAACCCTTTTAATCATTCAATGTTGGCGTTTTTCGCTAAATCTAAAATTTTCAAGGCAAATATCTCAAGAACCAAAGTTGATATGAAAAAATGTTATTCTTTTATTTCGACTTAGAAATTATTTTTCTACTTGACTAAAGTTCACGTGTTTCTTAAAAGTAGATTAATAATAAGCACCATCCCAAAAATTAAATTAAAATGTTTGTTTTGTGAGGTTAAGATTTATTTCCTCGCTTCCTACTCAAACAAAATATTTTTTTGTAACTTTAAGATATTTTTCTAACAGAAAAATTAATTTAAAGTCGAATGTAAAGAATAGAATTTTTTCGTATTAGCTTTAGTTTTTGAGATATGGCTCTTTTAATCATTCAATGTTGGCTTTTTTTGCTAAATCCAAAATTTTCAAGGCAAATATCTCAAGAACGAAGGTTGATATCAAAAAATATTATTCTTCTATTTCGATTTAAAAATCATTTTTCTACATGATTGATGTCGACGTTTTCCTTTAAAGTTGGTTGGTATTGAGCATCATCACAAAGAAGGAATAAAAACTCCGTTCTTTGAGATAATATGCTATTTCTTCGTCTCCTACTCAAATAAAATATTTTTTTATAGTTTCAAGATGTTTTCCTAGTAGAAAAATAAATTTAAAGTCGAAAGTAAAGAGAAGTATTTTATCGTATTGGCTTCAGTTCTTGAGATATAGCCCTTTTAATCATTCAATGTTGGCTTTTTTTTGCTAAATCTAAAATTTTCAAGGCAAATATCTCAAGAACGAAGGTTAATATGAAAAAATGTTATTCTTTTATTTCGACTTAAAAATTATTTTTCTACTTGACTAATGTTCACGTGTTTTTTTAAAGTAGATTAATAATAAGCACCATCCCAAAAATTAAATTATAATGTTTGTTTTGTGAGGTTAAGATTATTTCCTCGCTTCCTACTCAAACAAAATATTTTTATGTAACTTTAAGATATTTTTCTAATAGAAAAATAAATTTAAAGTCGAAAGTAAAGAATAGAATTTTATCGTATTAGCTTTAGTTCTTGAGATATGACCCTTTTAATCATTCAATGTTGGCTTTGTTTGCTAAATCCAAAATTTTCAAACCAAATATCTCAAGAACGAAGGTTGATATCAAAAAATATTATTCTTCTATTTCGATTTAAAAATCATTTTTCTTCATGATTGATGTCGACGTTTTCCTTTAAAGTTGGTTGGTATTGAGCATCATCACAAAAAAGGAATAAAAACTCCGTTCTTTGAGATAATATGCTATTTCTTCGTCTCCTACTCAAATAAAATATTTTTTTATAGTTTCAAGATGTTCTCCTAGTAGAAAAATAAATTTAAACTCGAAAGTAAAGAGAAGTATTTTATCGTATTGGCTTCAGTTTTTGAGATATAACCCTTTTAATCATTCAATGTTGACGTTTTTTGCTATACCTAAAATTTTCAAGGCAAATATCTCAAGAACGAAGGTTGATACGATAAAATATTGTTTTTCTATTTAGAGTTATACGAAACGTGGGGCAAAAGTAATGTCATAATGTGAATTAGTTGCCATTTTGTTAGAAATGAAAAAAATAGGGCTCTGTTTTTACGGAACGTTTATTTAAAAGTGTAAAATTTGTTATATTAACTTGAAAAAATTATATCGGTCAAATGACCCCCTCCTGAGTTAATACACATTTGTGCTCGTTTTACGGCATTTAAAATTGTTGCTCGCAAAATATCAAGCTCTAAATTGGCGATTTCTTCTTTAATGTTAGCTTTCAAGAGTTGCAGGGTTTGTGGTTTGTTGCGGTAAACGCGAGATTTCAAAAAGCCTCAAAGAAAGAAGTCTGGCGCCGTCAGATCTAGCGATCTGGCCGGCCAGTTCAAATCGCCAAAACGGGAGATCATACGACCCGGAAATTGGCGTTTCAAAATCTCCATCGTTGCCCGAGCTGTGTGAGCGGTTGCTCCATCCTGTTGGAACCAACAATGCTCGAGACCCAATTCAGCGATTTGCGGCAAAAAAAAATTGTTTAACATGTGTCTGTAACGCTCACCAGTTATGGTAACGGTGGTGCCGTCACCGTCCTCAAAAAAATAAGAGCCAATCACTTTTTCACTGCATATGCCGCACCAAACAGTCACTTTGAGGGGATGCAATGGCTCTTCGTGCATTTCATGTGGATTCTCCGTACCCCAGAAACGCATATTTTGTTTGTTCACATAACCGCTTAAGTGGAAATGGGCTTCGTCGCTCATTATGATTTTGGATACGAAATCATCGTCTTCTTGCACCAGGTTTAAGAGAGCATGGGAGTAAGTTAACCTCACTTGACGGTCAGCAGGCAGCAATTGGTGAACGGTTTGGACTTTATACGGAAACAACTTCAGGTCTTTCACCAAAATTCGACGCAATGAACGTCTGCTGATACCGAATTGTGTGCATCGTTGTCTCGTCGATGTTTGTGGACTCTCTTGGACGTCCTCGGCCAACGCAGCGATATTCTCAACCGAACGAGCATTTCGGGGCCGGCCACTTCTTGCAGCATCTCTAGTGGACCCAGTTTGCACGAGACGCTCAGCCAAACGCTTAATTGTTCGCGCACAAGGTGCAGGACGACGAGGAAAACGACGACGAAATTCCCGCTGCGTTAAAACAACAGACCGAAAATTCGTCAAATAAGCAGTAACAATATTTCCGCGTTCTTCGAGCGTGTATCGCTCCATTGCTTATTGTCAACTAATTCTCTATCTGTCTACAACATAAATGTCAAAACACAATGATATTTGACGCCATTTGCAATAATTATGATACGTTCACATTATGACATTACTTTTGCCCCACCTGTTATATAGTATTTTCTTTGTAATTTTAAGATGTCTTGCTAATAAAAAAATAAATGCGGTAATAAAGTCAAAAGTAAAGAGTAATACTTAGTAACAAACAATGATGTTCTTGTAAAACTCAAGGGAGTCGATCTACTGCTAATTATCGCCATAATGTTTTCTTAAAAGCTTATCAATATCGTGTACTTTAGAAGCATTTAGGATTCTTCCGGTAGAAATTTGTTTAGGATTTGCTTTGTTTACACATTTTCCCTTTCTACAAACTTACAACTTACGACTTACAACTAAATTCTTCTTGAATAAGAATGCTATTCTTTTTTTGATTCCTTTTAATAAAGAAACGCTTGGAAGGTGCAAACTTGAAATGCCACTGCCCTGGTAGCTTCATAATAGCATTAATTTCACTTTTGAAATACGTGGCCATAGCTTTGCAAAATTGTGTAAAATTCCTCTGGTTAACTTTTTCTATCCCTGCAAACACTGTATCGAAAATGCATTTTATTTTTTCAAGAGTTGAAGGCGCCTCGTGTACGAGCCACTTTCCAAACATTAACATAAGAATCGAATTATTGTTTTGGCCTCCACAGCCATCTGCAACACATCGTAGTTAAGAAATTCCTGTAAAATACACAAGATGCTATTTTATTAGATCCTTTTGGTAATGCATGTTCTCCCCAGGTGTATAAAAAAATGTTCCCTTTTAAAAGATCCTTGGAACTACTTTGGACAATAGAAAAGTTATATAAATAAAACTGTCGGCTGTAGTATGTCGATTGATCAGGAAGTCTTGGAATAGCGAAATTTTTTTGACATTCAAAGCTTATAGTGAATAATCCGTCTTTTTCTTCCTTCAACAGACTAGAAAAGCCTTCGCACGAAGCTTATGGATCCTTTTTTTCGTTAAAAATGCAGTCTTTTTAGTTTTGTCGGTTTATTTATTTATTTTTTCTTCTAATTCAACACATTTTGAGCACATGTTCGTTTGTGGTGTTCCAAACCCAATATTAAAAAAAGTTACAAATATCTTACGGAAATATCATTGCTTAACACTAAGGATGGGATCTTAACACTGCTTTTCGTACATTCTCCATATTTTTGAAATGGGAAGATCACTACTGAGATAGTGCCTTCGACTTCGTTCCCTACAGTAATGGGATTCTGTGCATTTGAATTGCTTAATAAATGTTTTTATAGCAGCTTCTACCCTGTGTTTAGTAATACCCAGAACTTTAAGAAATGTTGGACGGCAGACATGCTTTGAAGTTTTTCCTTAATATCCGAAATCGGAAAAGTTAAGGAAAACGATTTTCCTGTCCTGCTGTTGTCGACTGGTGTTCCTCGTCTGATTAGATTCACCTCAATATGTTTTAGTATAAAAGAATCTTGTTTTAATATTTCCTGGGTACTGTAGTATTGTCTATGAAAATCCAAAATAGTTTCTTTACTGATTGTTGAGCATCTGAAGGACTTTGTATTATGCCCACAGGTAGGCATCTCCGGAGAAATAGCTGCCGAATATCTGCATATAATTATTTGTGCACATACTCTCCAAATTACAAACCTCATTATTTTATCACGGTTTTCTTTCCACGATGCTGATCGTATTTGGCGTTTCCGTGGTTTATCAGTTTCTTCTTCAATGTTAATTTCCATATTACACAATGTAATAACCGGAATGAATAAAAATTCAGCGTTTCTATAAGATACTTAAGAAGATACTATCAACCATGCGCGGTGGATTTGGCCGCTTCTGATGCATAAACAGCAGTGGTTTTGGCCGATTTTGCAACTCAGATGGAAATTTAGGCAACAATTTCCATGGGATATGGTCTGTTTTGACACAAATGAGAAAGGTAAAATAGGCAGAGAGCCATCTAGAGCTCCAAAATAAAATAAAACCGAAAATGACAAATTGTGGATTTGGCCGCTTTAGATCTTAAGTTTCTCATTTTATCGCATTAGCTTTAGTTGTTGAAATATGGCCCTTTTAATCATTCAATGTTGGCTTTTTTACAAAATTTAAATTTTCAAGGCAAATATTTCAAGAACCAAGGCTGATACGAAAAAATATCATTCTTCTATTTCGATTTAAAAATCATTTTTCTACATGATTAATGTCGACGTTTTTCTTTAAAGTTGGTTGGTATTGAATGAGCACCATCCGAAAAAACAATAGAAACTCCGTTCTGTGCGATAATATGCTATTTCTTCGTCTCTTACTCAAATAAAATATTTTTGTGAAGTTTCAAGATGTTTTCCTAGTAGAAAAATAATAATTTAAAGTCGAAAGTAAAGAGAAGTATTTTATCGTATTGGCTTCAGTTCTTGAGATATGGCCATTTTAATCATTCAATGTTGGCGTTTTTTGATAAATCTAAAATTTTCAAGGCAAATATCTTAAGAACTAAGGTTGATACGAAAAAATATTATTCTTCTATTTCGATTTAAAACTATTTTATCTACATGATTAATGTTGACGCCTTTCTTTATAGTTGGTTGGTATTGAGCACCATCCCAAAAAAGAATAAAAAGTGCGTCCTTCGAGATAATATGCTATTTCTTCGTCTCCTACGCAAATAAAATATATTTTTTGTAATTTTAAGATATCTCTCTAATAGAAAAATAAATTTAAAGTCGAAAGTAAAGAATAGTATTTTATCGTATTGGCTTTAATTCTTGAAATATAGACTTTTCAATCATTCAATGT